TTATTTTACGGCAGAGCGTCATAAAGACACGATCCATCAATGAGCATAAAACTCTCGACTTCGGTGCCGTAACCCGTCTGGTAATAAATACAGATGAAGCGAAAAGAAAGAGAGAGAGAGAGAGAGAGAGAGCAGCGTTTTATCTCGCTCGCTTTTTTCTGGTCAACCAAGAGACTTCTGCAATCGTAAGTCGCGAACTTCGTCACACACCCGCACATCACATAGAATCTCTCTTGATTCTTCTCGGATCGCATCGCAGTTACTTTATTCCGATTACCGTATTCCCTCGAGAAATCGTGGGGACATTTAGAAAAAAAGTGTCGCCGTTGAAGCGACGCTTTTACGATTATTCGCGCCCTCCTAACTTCTTCCACAACTCTCTACTATTAGAATCCTTATCAACTTATATCAATAATTACTATAATTATGTGTGATAAAAAATCAGAAATATTATAACAATAGATATTATTATTTTAATGAATAGAATGATACAAAAAAGTTTTAGCTAATAAATTACTGTTGAACTTTGAAGATACTATAGCTGAAAATTTACGGTTATGGGACTATCTAATGTCTATTGCCTGTTCCCCATAGTATTCCTTCTCTAGTATAAACTATAGCTATAATTTACTAGGATGCAGTGTACTCTCTTGTGCTTTCTCTCCTACATAGATAATAAAATATTAATGCACACAAATTATTATCGAATAATATGATAATATTTATATCTATACAGACAGCTTTCTTTCAATGAAATTGATGTTTTATTCTATCATAAATCTAAAGAAAATAAAATTTATAAAGTTACACATTTATATTTATCTGTCTTTTTATATATGCACTTAAGGAATATCTCCGATATCGCTATAATGATGTCATTACTAATCTAGATGCAAGAAAAACATAAGCTAATATTTTGAGATGTTCCAATGTATGTCTTCTTGTGTTTCTCCAGCAAGCTTTTTATGAGTTAAGCCAGATGACTTATGTTTGTCTGACCTCTTTCAGATTTTCCTTTTAAATCTCTCAGCGCAAAAACAGGAAAATTAAATGTTGACAACGATGACAACAAATTCATGACTGTAAGCTGGTTCTCGTAACGCTAATCTAATCCGATTATTCAATTTATGATTATAGATAGAAGGATATATATTTTAATTAATATTTTTAATCAATTATCTTACGTATTTTTAAATATTATATATATGTTGCAGCACTTTCATTAAGAAATGCATTATAAAGAATAAAAGTTGTAAAGGGGGTAGAGAGGGGCTTGTTTCTGCGAAAACATTCTCTTCTTCGCAGATAACTTTTTAATCCTAAGGTAATACAGAGAGATACTTTCTGTGCTGGAATTCATTCTCGCATAGCAAACAAGTAGAATTGGTCTGTTTATACTGCTTTATAACCGTTAGAATCTTTACTCTGATACTCTTAAAAATGCATTCAACATTGCTAGTTTTCATGCAAAATACACTTAATAATGCTTAATGCGCATTTGATATTTAACGAATTTATGCGTATTTTAAACTAATTTTTGTTTAGTTCTCAGGGGAATCTGTTTTTAAAAATTACTCGGAGATATTAAAAAATATGTGACTTTTTAAACTATTTTATATATTATACATAAACTAATAGATATTTTCTTAACTAACACAATAAGTAAAATACATATCACATTTTTTATCTTTCTTATTTTTATAAGAGAATCTTATCGTCTCTCGAACTATATATAATAACGAGCTATTATATACTTCAAGATAAATTTACTCTTTGCTATAGCTTGCCTTCGTTTCGGTACACTTCATTAAAGAACAATTAAATGTTCGCCTTTGAAGAAGTGAGAAATGAAAAAAGATCTACAATACATAACTCTCTCATTTTTCTTCTCGGAAGCTCTTTTATTCTTTGCTTTAATATCTGAGAGATATTGAAACTGCAAGTATTTGAAGACGGTCTTGATGTGGCGAGATTTAATGAACCAAGACACAGAAGTTTCTTTGTGTATGCAAAGAAATGTTGTCATTAATGAACACGATGAAATGAAATCGAATTCCATTATCCGACTACAAATGCAAAGAGTTTCTGTTTTTTCTGTAGTTTTGGTTACGCGGAAAATGAAACTTTTTGTGATTGTAAATATAATTTGTTACTGCTATGGAAAATTCTGTAAAGAAATAATAAGATGCACTTGACTGGATGTTTTTGCAAATATGTATATAGATTTGAGTAATTTTTTATTTGCATTCCATAGTTAATCTTGCTGATACTTAATTTTCAGTAGTGTCAAATCGTGGGTTCTTCATGGACATTTGTCGGCGAGTGAAAATTTAATCAGAACTGCGACGAACGTAGCGCTAATTACTCCATTTTCCGTTAATTATTCCGAGTTGCGCAATCCAGATTACTCCTGGAGATATCGTTAATTTCGACTTCGATAAGCCATGCTTGCCAATGTCATGATTGCAACTTTAATGTAAAAAATTTATCTGCATAATTTGATTTAATGATTAAAAATATATGAAACAATTAATTTGTATTTTAAATAACTAGAAATTTTATATAATATAAAGTGAGTCTTTTTTCGAAAATCTCCCTCTCGTGCTATTTATCTTATACTATGCTGTAAAGGTAAAATTTATTCATTTTTAATAATTTAATATAGTGTTACTATAGAGATATATAAAATTCTTAAATATTCTCAACTACAGAAAAAATGCCATAGAACAAAGAAATCTATCCGTATTATACTATAATTTAAAACTTGTGCCGTAGCGAAGATAAACGTTCCCACCTATTTCCTTACTGACAATATACGTATAGTTATATCAGCCAGTAGTAACTCTTCCGTACGGCAAAAATATTTAGTTAGCGTTGACAAACAGGCGGTGAAACGAATGCAGAAAAGTACACGTTTTGTACAGCTTTTATTAAAAGTATATTGCGTCAAACTAAGCAACATTAAAAGTAAAAATATACAGTAAATTTTTATACTAAAACATCCTTAATAGTGAAATATACAATAGTAAATAATAAAGTATAAAAATTATATAACAGTTCTTTTTAATTTTCGAAACCCAAAAGTATTGATTTTATTTAATTTTATTAANATTTATAATTAATAATAGAATATTTAAAAAATTTACTACACATTGTTTTTAACATTATTCAGCTTGTCACAATTTATTTAAAATGTGCTTCGCGAGCGCGTATTTTTGGACAAGATTGTACTCGACCAAAAAATACAAGAAAAAAACACGACCTGCACTGTAAAATGCCGTTTTCTGCTGCGTATCGAAACTTTTCGTCGTTATGCATGCTCAATGTCATCGCGGCAATAAATTATGCTTCAAGTGCGCCGCAAAAGCACGGCGAGCCGCGTAACTCACGCACCATTTCTTCGCAACGATTCGACTGGCGACACCACACAGTAGGATCTAGTTCATGAATAGTTTTATATTTGCTATGAATAAATTCATGAAGGGGGACTGTAGGAGCGATTGTAAACGGAAAGGCGCAAGGAAATCAAAGTCCCATTGGCTTTGTTTGCTTCGAAAAATATATCTTTGTTAGAAATTTTTCTTTTCTTTTTTTATTTTGTTTATGTGTATGGTGCACGATCAAGATCTGTAAATAGAAGAAATGGCGATTCTTTAAAGCATTCAGAATATGCAGATGCAAGAATAGACTATAGTCACCATCGGCTATTCTGCACGTATGTATCACGATTTCCGGACGAGCGTCCCCATTTGTCTTCATTACTCGCGTCCACTCGTCCGTTGTTTTGCCTCATCGCAAAGGCTGTCGGAAAAATTGTGGCAACATTCACTCGAATTACTTCATTATAGAGCAAACATGACAATTCAGATATTATTCTATTTACATTCTCCGCGCAACAAAATTTAATCTTTCTAAATTCAACAGCTTCGACAATAATATGTTGGAAAGTTTTAAAAATGCAAGTAATATAATATTTATTAACGTCATTTACAAATTTGTAATTAAAGCTAAATAATATGAATATTACAGCATAGAATGATAAATTAGGTTCTGTCTTTTCAAGTTGATAAATTTTGTAATTTATGTTAATAAAGAGAAAAATTTTAACTCTCTTTCTCTCTCTCTCTTTTTTGTTATTATTTATTTATAAAGAAATATATATATAAACTATTTCTTAATTAAAATTATAGCATATTTATTTTTTAAATAACATAAAACGGTAAGAGGACTTTTTCTAAAAAAAAATTAATTTCTTGTCTTTCACATTATAAGCAGAATATTAAGAAAAGCACGAGATTACATGTATATATAATAAATAATAAAATGTTGCAGTAAATTTTATGTATGCATAAGAGTACAACAAGGAAAATGCAAGAGTATAATCCGTGCTCGGCAAATCTGCTGGGAATTATCGGATAATACGGTTTTATATCTTACACATAATTACTTAGCTTTACATGTGGAATTGCCGCTTATGCGGTAAGATGAAAACATGTAAAATATGGAAAAAGTGGAAAAAATGGCGAAGTAAAGCCACAAGGCCTTAATTTCGCTGAGCGAAGTTTTCTAGTGGCAGCGGAAAGTCGTACTTCTTAATTACGAGACAGAATAAACTCTACGGCTGACTTTCCGATCGAATTTAAAGTTAATTATGAGATATGGCCAAACGAACGCCAGCCTTTACAAACGAACACTTTACGAAGACTTAAAAGCTAGAACGAGTAAAAAATCGATAAAAAGACAAACTCGTAAATTGCAAAGCACATCCATGTCTTAATTGCTGTCATAATGCAGACAATAATATACTTTAAGTAGCTTTAAATTACAAGTACAAGTAGTTAGTACTTTAAATAGCAAAAATTTATAACTAAAATAAATAGCAGGGAAGTTCTTTCTTATCGATTTCATCTAGCCCAATGTTGACTTACCTTAAAAGCATCGTTGAAAGCTCCGTAATATATCTTTCAAATTAGGTGAAAAATTCGTGATAGACGGTTTACTTTAAAAGTACTATATTTATATAATCCGTCTCGTGTATCTTCTTAATAGCCATATTGTAGATATTTTATATACAAATGTATACACTCTGTACATTCTGTTTTACATGTTAAACGTTAACATATGATCTGTACACAAACGGAAATTTTAGGTAGATCCTGCTTTCTGTAAAAACTGTGTTCGTGAATGTAGTCCTTTCGATCGTAGTTAACATGCACATGATGTTTGACGCTTTTGCGATCGGCGTTTAATTGACTAATTTAATTAATGATCTGGTCGCGTAAGTACAACAGTCTGCGCACGTACGGTCGTATTTTCCGATTTTCTTTGGTATGTGTATAACATTGTGAGCCATTAAGTGCAGAAATGGCACGAAGAAATGCGTAAAGACAAATCATGCTTGTCAAGTTGAAGTATATTGTCGGTAATACTACTGCATCGGATATGTATGACTATACATATATATGATACAAATCACTCGTTTCCTCGTAATGACGCAAGTTAAGTTCAATTCTTCTGATCGTGTCTGAAAAGGATTTAGTTCGTCTGCATAAGATTTTTTCGTAACACACACAAATATGTACAATTAATCCTATACATTTTTTTTCTGATAATTACTAGAATAACAATAATACATTAGTAACAACAATAACACGTCTCGTTTCCCATAAATCAAAAAAATATGGATTTTCGTCAACAGAAATACACTTTTCAAAACTCAACATTCAATAAAAATAAGTACTCAATCAAAGAAACAATTAATCTAATAATTTAAAATCATAATTAGAGCATTGATAGTTAAATAAAGAGATCATCTTATAAATAATAATCATAATAGTAGACACATTTAATTGGCAATAAAGGCAACATATAGTAAAGGACATTATAATCGATCCATTAAATGTAAAGCAATAATATATAAGTCACACTTTCTTAAGTATTTTTAAAAAAGATAAGAGATTTGTGAAAGTATGAAGAACTTATTTGATCTAAAATGTAACTTATGTGTCTTGAATTAATTATATGCTATATTTCACAAAATTATAAGTGTAACTTATTATTATTCATTTATGCTACTATGTTCTGCTCGAGTTACGCTATACTTCTGCTAACAATAAGTTATAAATCAGTGAGCAGAAGATACAATGATGTATAATGCAGCTTGTTAACATTTAGAAGGAACTAACCACACGGAAGAATTAATATCAGACAATCGAGTTGGAGAACCACCAGACGGTCTAGCGGTTTGCAAATGGTACTTACAAAGGAGGTCGCAATGGAAACCAGTATAACCGTCGTATGCACACTCGTGCGGTTATCAAACCGCATGTGATTTTAGACGTCTCCCACGGCATTCGTAAAATAAACGTACATTCCGCCCTTTATCCGATAATTCGATTCCGATCGGAATATTTATACTATTGCTGGAAATAGATATTGCGTTCTCGTGGAGAACTGAAAAACATGTCGCTCGACCGTGAAGATCGCTCATTCGGCACAAATATGCATACAAACATACATACGTGCGTACGAGTACATGTCCGTGTGTGTATGCCTGTGTGTGTATGTGCATTACGAACTATAAATGCATCTCTTGAACTATCTGCTGACCGAACGCGCGCAGACTCGCACGTTTCTGCAGAAATCACGTGGAAAAATAATTTACCTAAACATCATCGCGTTTTGTATATCGATCGCGCTGATATACATATAATCGCTATTTCTGTCGGTGCCGATCAATGCCAGTCGCATTCTGCGCGAAGTACCATTAAACGATACTGACTTGTAAAATTCGCATTTGCATTTCTATCTGGCATCGCAACTCGATCGACACATATATCTCATGCGTCTAAAATTGTTGAATCTATAAAACATAGTATTTTTATTTCGACGTTAATCGTGACCCGATCCAGCTCCATGGTTTTAAGATTTTATCGAAAACCTTTTCCTGCGATGCACGGGGCGTTGCTAAAGAAGACATATCGTTTCGCGAAGCATACAGTTAGACTACGTGATGGGAATATGTCGGATCGAAGAATCACGATGTTCTATGAATCTATGAATCTGGCTTTATCAAGTGTACGCTATAAATTTCTTCATCCAGTTTGCACCAACGTCGACTATTCACAAAATAAGATGCCTAGCTAATCGAAATAATTAGTCGTTTCTGAGAAAATCCCGCGGGCCATTTTACTCGTGTCTTTCCCTGCTAAGTGGGAAAGACCGCACATCGTTGTGCAAGTTTGTTTTTCTCTTTAGTTGACGAGTGATTAATAGCCTTTGGTTTCCGCTTCTTCGTCTTCCCCGGGCAATCCTGCAGTGTAGGAACAAATGAGATTTCGTTCCCGATATGTTACGTACCATTAAGCCCAGGAGATTTCACAAAAATCGATAAGCAGTATCGGATAAGGCGCGCATCTTAAGCTGCTTTATTACAAATTCTAAAGAAAATATCAGGTGTTAAAATTTTGCATCCGGAGCTACTGTGCATTGTAATAAAAATAACAATAGTCTAGAAAATTTAACGAGATTTTGATTCAATTAAGAAAAATGTCCGAAAAATGTATTGCTTCGTTTTTTAAACGCTATAAATATTTTTTGTTACATCCTATAAAATAAATTTTAATATATTATTATACACACATATTGCAATTTTTAAATAAATATTTTACATACCAGAATTGTATAGCTGAAAGAAAGAATCATAAAAATGTTTAAAAAATATTCGTGTAAATAGATATATATTGTAAATGTACTTTTTTTAAACTCAAGAATGTAAGTTCAAGAGCAAAAGCTTTCTTTCATCTTCTCATGGAATCGACGGTACGCGTGTCGATTTCCTCTTTTTTTCTTCGTGTACTGTGAATATTTTAAGCGACTCGATTTAATCGCGCTTAAGTACTAGTCTGAAGTTTACGATACGATCTAGAAAGCTCTCTTTCGCTTCTTTTCTCGATTTCGCAACTTATATGTCGTGTAGCTAATATGAAAGGCAGCGGTTATCATGATATTCACACAGTAAAATGCATGGTTCCCGCAAGGATTCCGATTATTTTCGTCACAAATTTGTTCACGTGATATCGCCAGCAGATTATTACACCTACCTGGATCGCCCAATAGATGCGGCAATATTTTTTTTACTTTTATCTCCTTTATTAGAAAACGTGTGTTTCGACTGTAAACGGCTACAGTCGTCACTGTCTATTCGAATTGCGTTAATAACGTACCGCAAGTATACATTAACATATATCTTTCTATCATCTTAGCGACGCTGTAGTTAGCATCGAGGTCGCGTTCGAAAAAGTTCATGTTGTTTCTCAAGACGACGACTCGAAGCGCGTGAATTCGAAGCGTGTGCCATTCATTATTGTACAAAAACGCTGACGCGAAATCGCGACGCAAATCGTAAAGCAAAGACTAGAAAGGTATAGAAGCCCCGATTTCCTGGTCCAGCGATCTCTTCGTCATATCAATCGACCTGACGACGCATCGCAGAATGCTGATGTATTCTTTAATGCCGTCCAGCGAGCTCTGTGTACCGACCGTCCTTCTCGTGGGTCGTCCGAGCCGTCTCGCAGCTCGATTGGGCCAGGTGCGATACAAGGGGTCCACGCTGCATCGTTCGAAGGCACTCCAGGTGATCGACGATCGCCGCGGCAATGGATGCGTGTGCGAGAAGCATCCGCAATGCTGCCAGGACAGGGACGGGGTCTTGCATTTAAATACGGGTACCCTGAAGCCCTCCGGTGGTCGCAGAATCGGCAAGTCGTGCAATTTCAAAGCAGTCCCTGCTCGTTGCCACGGTTTCGAGGTCAGCGAATCGTCCGCTGTCGTGCAACCGGCGCGATTTATCGAATTATGGAGAATGGGAAGACCGTTCAATCGAGAGTCCGCGTTAATGTTAATCGTATTAAAACTGGACGCGTCATCGATTGTCACCGATTTTTCAAGCCTGCTTGATTTATCAGTGGGTTTTTCGATATGCTTCTCTTCAATCAAATGGATATGATTTGATACATCGCTGATCTCGGATGATTGATTAAGTCTCGACGAATCGCGGTCGCAGAATTCACTGACCACGGGCGATCTTTCGCGCTCGATCGCGTCGCGATACGTGGATCAGGAGGAGGAGTTCGCTTCCATGGTGGAGCTCGTCGAGGCGTCGTCATCGAGGGAGCTCTGCGTGGCGACGGTCACTTTGTTCCCGACGTTATTACGAATCGCCGCCGGATAATTTTGACGGGGATGGCGTCTCTTGTAGGGCTCCCAATCCCCAGAATCCCGGCGTCAGTGCGTCGCGATTACGTCCGGCGCACTCTTTGTACTCTCTATGCTGAACGGCCGTCTTTGATCAACTTCGATCACCGCTTCTGCCCGATATCTCGGATCCACTGGCTGCGGGTGGCGTTTAGACGACGTGTTGCCGGAAGAGTGTTGTGATGTGCTTGACGTGGTGTTGCTGGATCCGTGGCCAGATCCAGCATACATCGAACTACCATACCTCTCGCCTGAGCCTACGGTAGGTTGTCGCGTGAACTTGGGCGATTGCCGATAAGAATCCCTGCTAGGCTTGGGGCTCTGGTATCTCTGGTAAGATGGGTAGTCCAATTGTTCCGGATACTGGGCAACTTGCGGCACGGATAGAGGATAGCTGGACTCGTGCATGGACCAGCCAGGTGGCGCCGGTATGGGATTGTGTTTCGGACAGACGCCCATACTGCCGTCTCGTCCGCGAGATGCCGGGCTACAGCCGGAGCATTGAGACATGCTCTGTTGCTGCAAACTGTGTTGCGATGTCTGCGAGCTCGGCTGTGAGCTCGGCTGCGAGGATTGAACGCTCTCGAAATGAGACCGTTGCGGGCTCTGTTGCAGCAACTGCTGTTGTTGTTGATGATGATGATGATGATAGTGATGAAGATTGGTCCCGTTTTGAGAGCTGGGTGCGCGCACGCCAAAGGTCGTAAAGCCCATCGGCGCCATCGCATCCAGTATCCGCGGTTCGAAGAGGCTCTCCCTCGTCTGACAGGAATTATCGCGCATTTCCGGCTCTTCGCTGGATTCCTGTAGGCGTTCCTGAGTGGCATTGCTCACGTTATTGCTCTGGTGAATGTCGGTGATGTCGCCCGCGTTATAAGCTATCTCGAGGACAAGATCCTTGGTATACTCTTGAGATATCATGGTAGTGGGTGGCATGAGTTCTTTGCTGGGCAAGACCTCCAAGCTCGGTGACTCGCTACCACGTTCGCGCAAATCCGTTCTGGAACTCGAGATCGGACACGGAGTCGACTTTCGACCCAGTTCGTCTAAGCGATTTTCTCTGGATTGCCTTATGTGTTCCTGCGGGAAAGCGAAAGGACGAAATGCATAATGACACGAGCATAAAATATATTAACTTGTTAAGACGTCTGTAGAGACTTCTAGAAACGCAATATTATTCTGTAATTATGTTTATTCTGTAATTATTATTTAAAAATATTAAATTTATAAAAATTAGATGTCCTTAATATTCCATTTTTGAGCGGTTTGCAAAACACAATATTCATTATATCTACGGAAGATTATTTCCGTTATAAATAAGCAGAATGTTTTATAAAGATATGTATATACGCAATCAAATATTTAAAAAAATCTAGAATTGAAGATTAGTTTAATATATATATATACAATTAAATTATATGTTTATATTAAAATAACAAAGCGTAAAGTTATAAAAATTTTACAATTTATTTTTGATAGCATATCTAATATAGATTTTAAGAGAGAAAATACTTTTTTATTAATCGGTTTTTATACACATATATTATTTTATGTAGCGCTTAATTTAATGTACACGTAATTGTGCTAAAATAAGTTACGTTAGCTTGAAAAATAAAGGCAGGTAACAATACACTTGATCGCAATAAATTTAATTACGAATTAAATATAATAATAAATTTATAGTTAGTCTGATTTCTCTGTGCACAGAAATGAAAACTTTATAACAAACAGTTAATAATATTTCATATGTTACAAACGTGACAAATGCCACAATATTATTATAATAATAAAAAAGAAATTTGAATGCTTTTGGACATTTGTTAGCATAATTGTTATTTAGGATAATACGATTATCGCTACATATGCAGAGCTCATAAAGCATGTATTCTCCATAATATAATTTAACAAATTACAGTATTCTCTGTAAAATAATCTCATTTAAGTCATTGAGAAATTTGATAATAACATCGCTGGGTTTTAAACATTCAGGTTAAATGAGACCAGAAATATGACATAGCCACTGAAAACCAATACAGAACGATTATTTGTGCAAAAAAATAAAAGAAAATGTCAGGATAAATATTCTCGAATTTCCGTTTCTCGAAATTTAATGGTGGAAAATAAAGGACGCTGAATCATCGAGGCACGTCACTGAAAACCTATAAATTGTGAGGGCTCACTGAAATATTGCGCGATCGTAAAAAGAAGAGCTCTTACAGTTTATACGCTGTAGCAATTCTATATAAATAATTCGAGATAAGTATTTGCGCGAAGGGGAACGTCTGCGAACAAAACATTATGAAATTTTCTGAGATATAGCAGGAAACCCCTTACTATTTCTGTAGAGATCTCATTTTCCGATCTCTCTATATTAAAATCGATGGCATGAAGGAGTGCAAGTCTTTGGGAAAATGAAACACACTTACCTGGATAATGCGGTGATCGCGGATGAGTTTCCGAACGCAGTTGAAGACGAAGGCAAAGCTCATGCCAAACATAATTAGGGAGAAAACGACGAGGATTATGACGATGTGCTGCGAATCAATGAACCGTGAATTCTTCTTCTGCAAATAAGAAAATTAAACGTGTCTTCAATATCGTTGCTCGATATAAATAGTAGTACGCAGTTTTAATATTATGTAAAAAACTGGAATCATATGTATAAAGTGCAAACGTTGGTAAAAGTTTTAAGTCACTTTGATTTTTAATTAGTAGATATTAAACTGCATATAAATGTAATGAAGTTCTCGCTTTCTTCCCCCTCTGTATATTTTTCCAAAATAAATAAATATTAATTATATAAAAATAGCTTTTATTTTGCTTTGCGATTTTTATTTTATTTTAACTGTCACAATTTTATTCTTGTACTTGTACTATATATAAAAATAACGAATTAGATACATTATTTGTAACATGTACGTGGATATATTAAATAATTGTAAGCACATAATATGTAGCGTAATTAAATCCGTTAAAGGATTCGGATCGGGGGAGAAATGGGGAAGTTAGAACGCGTAGAGCAGTGCGCTAATCATCATTTCGTTCCGGTTACAGCTTCTCTCCGTAACTTATTGTTAGATACGAGGTTCTCTCGACAATGACGTCTCGAGATATACACGGATTCGTCACTGCATCCTCGACATCATGGCACAAGATGCACCCTCTTGTCACTATCGTTCTGCCCCGTTTGCAACCAGCTACGGAGATGTCACACTAAATGTCTTGGTGAAATTTCAGGAGAGCGTTACACATTACGCAGAGTGGGTTCAAGCAGGAGGAATTTGCGAAATATCACGGCATAGAGTGCACAAAGCAAGTAGGATCGACACGATCCGTCTTCCTCTTTGTTTCTTCGCCTCCCGTCTTCTGCGTACCATCCTTTGTCTCCTAGAATGGCGTTGCCGCCGCAGATTTTGCCTGTTTGCTCCTCGTTTACTTAAGTGGTTGTAACGTGAGAATAACTTGTTGAAATACTACTTTGTACCGCATTTGTTTTAATTTAAATACAAAGCATTTGGTATTAAGTGCATTTATAATTGCATTTCATAAAAAATTCTCTATTAATAATAAAAATATAGAATTTTCTTGAAAAAATGATATATTTTTCGAGATATAAATCAATTATAATGCGTACATGCATTTTCTCAATGTTATCTTGTATTTTTACTTTAATATATTTGTCTCAATATTTTATATATTGTAGTACTTAATTACTGTATGTTTTTATTTCAAAGTTTCCAAATTTGCATTTCATGCATTTAACGATTCACGATGCATACGTTTCACGAATATCGAATGCGTTTCTTCGTCAGATTAAACAAGTTAACACGAAAACTTCATCTACTATAAGACAAAGCGTTGCAAATTTGCATATTTATGCAAGAATAGATATCGTATTTAAATCTTCAAATAATATATTCTAAACAAACAAGATTTACGTTAGATTTACGTATATAATGGATTAAATATACTTTAATAGACTGCAGAAATTTCATGCGTTTCTCGAAGAAAAACATGTGTATTCTATCTTTCAAGTTATATTCTAATCTCCCTCTCTCCCTCTCCCTCTTTCTCTCTCTCTTTCTCTCTGTGCGTGTGTGTGTGTGTGTGTGTTAAATATAAATCTTGATTTAAAAAATAGTTTACTTTGGAGTTAAAATCCGAAGGGGATAAGTACAAATTTTATTAATTTAAAAACAAGTCATTAAATTTTTCAACAGTTCTAAGAAAATATCACAAATAATGCAGACTATCCATCATATGTCAGGCTAGTATGTCAGTAATCTCGCACTATTGAAAACACAAGTCACTGAGGTAACTTTGCATGCTGAAAGTTCTGCGGACGTATTGCGAAACACAATGTATGCAAGTCACGTTATGCCTTCAATGCTTACACAGTGATAACTAATTTCATCGGGTCAACCTTGCGTGGCAGTGGCACAAAATAACATTTACCGACACTATTATTGTTCGTGGAAAGCGAGGAATATATATACACCATTAAGCAATGAAGTAATTTATGGGCGTTACATGTTGTTCATCTACATGGCAATTCAAAGAGAGACAGCACTTTTCTTTTCTTCTGTCTCTGCGTATATTTCTGCACGTTTCGATAATTGCATTATAATTTCTCGGCATTTATATCTCGCGTATCGTCCAAATTAAGGTAGTTGCTTCAACAGCAGAAACATGTCTGTCCGATTACAAAATGCTTAACGCAACGAAAAACTTGTGCAAGTGTAAAATAAATTCACGTACGATATAAGTTTACGTCATTTTAGAAATCGTTAATTTTATTTTAAAAATTTATCAAACGATTTTTTATATATTTTCTCTTACATATTTATATATGCGTATAAAATTATTTATAAAGTTTATAACAAATGTGTAATTAATGAATCCATAATAATTATATGAACACGTTTTACAAAGAAATTAGAGAATAAATAAAAATCGCAAAGTGAAATGCAAAACTGGATAAGTAATATAATACGATATAGCCGTAAAACGAATACGTGATCAAAGGTATAACTGCATTGTCATATACGATTCCGCTCTGTAGCGTAGTGCATTCCACGCGCGTTCCTTGATCATATTTTTATTAACGGAAAAAATTTTTTTATCGATTGGATGTCATGTCGCGCGGGAAAAGCGCCGGGAAATCGGACGACGACACAGGAAAGCACCATGACAAGCCGAAATCGTACCCGAAAGAATCTGTCGACAGGTGAAAAAAAGCAATTACGATGATCGTGCGGATATTAAGTTTTCTTTCTGCCACACGTACGATACTATTATAACGCATATCTCGGTGATGAAATTTTTCGGCATTATTCCTAAGTCACTTTCATATTTCTGTTCCTCTCTCACTTTCTCCCTTTCGAAGAAAGAGTATATCCATGATATCCTATCCCGTACATGCGCATACAAATAAGCAGCCGAGAGAGGAGGACGAGAAAAGAGATTGCACAAGTGGATGCTTTCTTCTGCTTCCGCGAGTCTGAGTGGTTTATTGTTATGCTCGTACGCTCGGAATCATTGCACGTTTTCGTGAATGTATCTACACGCCGCAGAGTGCATTGGAGAGCCCGTTACTGTGAGTATATGACACCTTTCATCGACTTCAACAGCGAGAAACTACATGATAAACGATATAATCGGAGTTTTTTGTTAAATAAGAGCTTGTTTCAATCTTTCATATAATTGTCCAATTAAGATACTCAACGAGAAGTTTGAGAATGTTTCTATAAATTCAAGTAATAAAACTGTCAACATTCTTAATATTGTAGAGAAGCATATAATTATATATTATATAATTAATTTATATTTCTTAATTTTTATTGTTGCGTATATATAAATATATCGTAAAAAAACCACGATATTAATTTCAACGATAAATTTTTTTATGAAAATTAAATCTTTTTTTAGAGAAAACTTTTTGTAGTATATATTTACTAAAATAAAAAGAATAAAGCCCATTTAATCAGAAATATAAAACAAAGGTAAAATATGGCAATTAGAAATATTGTTATACTAATCGTGATTCACAAAATGTTCCCAGAAGCACGTTATCCTTTATCTGTGCTTCGTACCATTCCGACATTGACTATCAATCGAGCATAAAACGATGTCTGGATTTATGGTGATTGGCGTTGATATGATCCGAAATCGAGCGCATCAAAATGTTTTATTTTATTCCGCAATCTTTCAATCTCGCAAATTTCACTAACGCGATGTATTTTTTTCTTTCTTTTTTGCAAAAAATGTCAGTATTTCAAATTTTTAAAAAATTTACCGTGATGTACATCATCGTTCTACTAGAATATCTCATTTCGCAAAATTCCTCGTTGAGAATATTAATATAGTGTGATACGGGAATCTGTGTAAAATGATATATCAGTTTGTCGGCGGATAGTGGACCTTCGCGTGTTTTTACGAGGAGAGAAGAAGAATTTGTACTATTCCACCAATAGAAATTCTTGAAGCACGTTGGTCCTCACAATACGAGCTATCAAAGAGATGAAGGTACGAGTAACTATTTTAAATATTTGTAGTATTTACGGCGTCGTATTCGATGTCCGTAAATACCAGCATTTACTCTGTAAATTCCGGTCGCAAGATGCTATGTTGAATTATTAATACCCGCACTAACGTAGGCAGCTTTCGCAAAAAACTTATGCGTACATTGCAATAGCGCTTTTATGACACTCTTGCATGTGGCCATAGAAAAGTATATAAAATCAACATATATCGATATCTGATTATCGATATATGAATATCTAATATTATTATAAATTATTATGTACATGATTTGCAACTTTAGAAACAGTATTTGTATCTGACAGATAAATGAGTCAAATTAAGTCAAATAAAGCACATCGCAATTCTATAAAATAATCTTCTAATAAGATACCGAGCTACCCTATAATACGACACATAATGTTGTGTTAAAAGCTATATCCAAATCTACTATATGCAAACTAGTCAAAGTGCGTCATTCATTAAGGCATTTCACGGCATCTCGGACACGCCACCGCGTTGTAACAATGTTTAATGTCAACAAGTATTGTACATTCACACATCGCTCGTGTGTTTCCATCTCAGGCGAGAACTTGAAGTTCTACGCGATATCGACTGTCTCTGTGTCGTAATCTATATAGACATAGTCTAACTAGGAACGATGTCCTTGTGCGTCTGTACGCAAATCCCGTGTCAAATACGTAGCCGTTGTTTCACAAAGCCGCGTTTTTTCAGGGTGCCAAGTAATTTCCGGAAATATAGAGCCGCGCTCGATAAAATAAAATTTACGTTCTCTCATTCTCGTCAATTCATAAAAGCCAGTCCATAAAAGCATTTTTACGAGATTGAAGGTATTTACGCACCGGCTCAAACTTCAATCGCAAGCAAACGTCTGTTTTATATTGCGTTTGTCATGTCAGATAGTGCGATGAATTAATTATATCAAAATGGAAGCATTTAATTATTTTCATTTAATAGATACAACATGGTAAAGTTTTATATACACAATCACATTTGTGTATCTGCTCACGAAATACGAGCGTCA